ATAAAATGTAATACATCTCATTTGGGTTTGGCAAAAATAAAAGCGGCCTAAAAGCATTTCAACCTACATACCGTGTTTGTCATTTCATTTCGTTAAAGAGATAATAACTCTTCGTTTCGGCCAAAAAATGAATTTTCCTGGAGTAAACAACAATTTTCCCATACTTACCAATGGTTAATGATTCCATTTTTACATTCAAAGTTAGTCCCTGTTTTTTTTCTAAAAAGTTTGGATTTTTGTTAAAATCCCTTAAGAGATTTTAACAGAATATAGCCATCAATGGAGGTCACGTGGTCTAAAGACAAGCTCGGATATCAGAATAATAGCTATAACTGCCGTTTTTGTGGTAAAACAGAATATATTATATTTCTATGAGTTATTCACATTGTTTTTATTGTGAAATATAGATCTCATACGAAGAGTTATTATCACTTTAATCGATTCTGCAGTATACAAGGGGCAGAGATTACAAAAAATACATTTTTAATAGGCAATTAAGTGAATTTTGTTAACTTTTTATGATAGATTTCTGTCCACCCTGCAAATTATTAAAAAATTATTATTATTTTATTTTATTATTTTTTCTTTGTCCAAGTGGGGTAGTGTTGCCGACAACACTAATCGGCAGGGGGTTTGGCTCCTATTTCCTCCCCCTCCCTCCCCTCCCTCATTTCTTGCGTGTTTACCTTGATTGTGTAATTTGCGTTTTTGTATTGTTATTGGTACCATCATTATTGTAATTATTTTATTTGTAATTGTCTTTACTTAATACTTATTTCACCATACAATCGGCCAATAAACGACTCTTCCCGCCATTCTGAACCCGTCGTTTAACAGTTGTACCCTACAATGTCTTTTTCAAATGTGTCATGCAAACCTGCCATTACATTTGATTTTATCACCAATTAATCTCACCTCAAATCTTCTGGTGACGGGTAAACCTGACCTATGAATACAGTAGATAGGACTGGGAAATCTCTTGACTTATACAGCACAACACACACCGGCTTAATTTTACGAATGATAACACCTTTTAGGACTCATGTGCTTCTTATTCACAGCCAATGAGACGACAAGGTGACCAGAGGGCCATTACAACTGTCGTGTCAGTTTTGAAATAGCCATCTTAAAAAACAGGCTGTCTATACAATCTTTTAATTTTGAGATCTCAACCTGAACGCAGCGTCGGCTGACGGAAGCCTCTTTGTTACAGTACCAAAGCTGAGGACACAAAATTTTGTCAACATGGCTGCCACAAAAGTGATGTTGTGGGGTTTTATTTCGGTGTGGGTGCTTGGATTAACGGCAGGTAAGTTGAATAGTGTGCTAGGACAGTCTCGGGATAATCCGTCCCAAGTTGGATATATACGGTACTTATTCAAAAATTTCAAACAGTTAATTTTTTTTGTATTCTTAAAAACATTTCATTATTTTAGCCACTTTCAAGCAATGTACTTTCTTACACAAAACCAACTTCCTTTTAGAAAATTTTCAATTTTAAATTAAAATCTATAGGTATAACTAACAGGCACTTTAATTATTTTAATTGTTTATTTATTAATCGTTTTCGTTATTTTCGGGGGGAAATCATTATCTCATTATGTTTAAATTTATTGAATCTAGACACTACGGTTCGAATTCAATAAATTCAAACATTATGAGATGATGTTTTTTGGTGATTTTGTTTTGGTTTGATGAGAAGATATATTTTACGGACGGGGGGAGGGATAGGCCACATTTTGCAATAAAAAGAACCGACGGCACTTTGGTTATTAATCTACATATTTTTAATCAAACTTTAATTCTGACTTCGTTTTTGGCAAATACTTCCGATGTGTGGTTCAATGGTCTTGTATCCAAATGATTGTTTAATGACTTAAAGTTTCTTTAATAGGACTTAAGTATCAAACTCAAGGTATCTGCCATTTAATGGATCTCTTTTTTATCTCATCGTTCATCGTTCCTTGAAAATCATATTTTCAAATGAAAAAGTAAATGTTCCCGTTTTACAAGTGATTGCATTTCTTATTATGCACGCTCATACAAAATTTGTAAAGGCACATTTCGTTCTATATGCACTAAATGTTATTAAGCTATTGGCAATTTTAGTAAGTGCGTTCCAGAGGTAGAATTTTACAATCTGTATTAGGTAAATTTAGACGGTGTGCTTTAGAATTTTGTATATTAAAGCTTATAATGTACATAGCGCTGTGACAAAAGTGGAGAACGGTTTTAAAATTTAATAATAAACACAATGATATTATTTGAAAAGAACAAATAGGCATTACAAATATTAATGTGACTTCTCTTGTTCCCATTCCAGGCGAAAGGACCCTAAAAGATGACTATATTGCAGCGCTGATGCAAATAGCCACCGTGATCGGGTGTATAGTGTCGGTATTGCGGGTTTTTATACGGCCAATATTTGACGGAATTGAATTTGTACGCCAAAAGTTGCGCTAGGGAAACTAACAAATATTATGCAAGAGTAACGAAAAGAAGTAAATTCATCTTCTGTTAAAAAAAGAACATTTGTGGCGGTGTTTGGATGCGTATGTTGCTGTACTGCAGATTTTACCCGGCTAATATTTCACAGAATAGAATCCATACACCTAAAACTGCGTTGAAGGTAACCAACAAACATCATTCAATAAATACGAGAAGACATAAATCACTGATTGTAAAAAAAATACATGTGGCTACGACTGTTGGTTAACACATGTATTACGGCTTTCGCATAATTTTTATTCCAATCACACTATTTTTAGTGTTGTGGCATTAGATGAAATAGATGAAATAGATGAAACTCAAACTATTCATCCAGAAGAATTACAGCTTTTTCAGAGATTTGTTGGGACACTTCAAAAGATAACTTCCTGGTTGCATGGTAACGGTATAACCAGCAAGATACGTGTGAGCCCATGGTTTACAATGCTACTGAAAAAAGATAACATTCGAAAGCAAGAAAGGAATCAATACTGAACAGTGCGTAGAATATGCGTTAGGTTGTCGAGTCTGGAACCCTCATTATTCTGCTATGGCAGAACCTTTAAAAACCTGTGGGCGAATCTTCATTTCAGTCCTCCTAAGCCTGCTTCTGAACCTATTCCAGTTCACTCCGTCTGTATATGAGGAGTGGTATCCAAGATAGTACACACCATTAAGATTGGGCCCGGAACATGCATAGTTTCTTGCTTTTGGCTGGCAAAATTTTGACATTACTCACAAAGATACGTCTCCGCATTCTTACTCACGTCAGTTTTTGAATGATAATTCGAAGAAATCCTCACCTTTGGTCCTTGGATAGAAATTTTGTTAGAAATTGGTGCATCTATCTTAAGGATTAAGGGTCAATATATTTTATATGCCATATGAGGAGCAGTGTGAGGGAATAACGATGGGGATGTGGCATAAAGGCAAGCATGATTTACCCAAGGCACTTTCTGTAAAGACAGGAAAAACAAAACCCTTGACATCTCTTGTGAAACAAAACAATCAGAATTTGCTCAAAGGTCTGCCTGTAATTATCGCCGTCCAACTCAAGGAGATGACGAGCCTATGCAGCAAGACAAACATTATTTGCTTACGGCACTTTTTGTAAAGACACGAAAAACAAAACCCTTGACACTTCTTGTGAAGTAAATTAATTAGAATTTGTTCAAAGGTCTCGTCATCCAATTCAGGGAGACGAGGTACCTATGCAGCAAGACAAGCATGATTTGCTTAAGGAACTATTTGTAAAGCAAAGCAAACAAAATCCTTGAGACTTCTTGTGAAACAAAACAATCAGAATTTGCTCAAGGGTCTTTGTTCGAATACAGGGATTGCATAATGCCAGTGTAGTAAATGTCCACCCGCCCAATCGCCCGACACGTGTAACTCATACGGGACTTTACTGTTATTAGATTTTGAGCAGTTTCCGCCAAACCGTACGGCAAATCGGAACCTGAGCGCACTTACTAGCACAGTATTAATCGTGAGTGCATGTGGATAATTGTAATAAGTATAAATTAACGAGAAAACTTAGGTTATTATATAAGTGTACTAAGGTTGTGCTCTTCTTTATTACATAATTGCAGTAAGGTTAATAAGGGCCCCCGTTAAATGTTGTCAAGATTTCTTAGTCTTGCCCCAACCCCCTAAACCCAAAGATAAATAACACTACTAACAGAGAGGAAGACCGAGGAAGACGTTGGCTTTATGAATCTCAGAAGCAGACAGTTGTTGATGGTTGAAAGAAGGAGTTCAGAGAGCCCCGTCGGTCTTCATATCGTAGTAGACATCAAGTTTTACTGAGAATGCTGGTATACACGCCACTAATCCTTACCCCTTTATGACACAGCTCTGCACAGCCCTTTCCTTGTGTTATTAACAGAAAAGAACAGCAAAGCAATTTCACAGCGAGTGTCTTATTTTTATAACGGATCCAAAAAGAGTTACTTTGGAACACCCCATATTTTAATCCCCCTAAAATTGAACCAGTGTACCATGAAAATCTGACTCCCCTACAAGGTGACTCTATGGCGGATGCGTAGTAGATATGTTGCGGATTTTACCCGGCAAATATTTAACAGAATACAACCCATACAACCCAAATTGTGCTGAATGGAACCAACAAATATCATTTAAAATTGCGAGAAGACATAAGTCACATATTGTAAAAGAAAATACCTGTGGCTTCGGTTGTGGTTAACACGAGTATTGCTAATTTCGCGTAATTTTATTCCAAGCAAACAATTTCTATTGTGGTGACATTGATCGGATGGAACTCAAACACAGCATGTCCATCCAGAAGCATCACGGCTTTTTCACAGATTTGGTAAGACACTTCAAAAGATTATTTCTCGGTTGCATGATAACGGTATACATGTTACTATCAAAATACGCGTTTATGGTTAACAATATTATTGGAAAAAGATAACATTCGAAAGCAAGAAAGGAACCTATACTAAATAACGCGTGGAATATGCGTGAGGTTGTTGAGTTTGGTACATGTACCCTCATCCAACGGCTATGGTAGAACCTTTAAAACCCTGAGGGCGAATCTTCATTTCAGTCCTCCTAAGGGAGTGGTACCTGCCTCTGAAGCTAGCCCAGCCCACGCCGTCCGCATAGGAAGAGTGGTCTCCAAGATAGTACATACCATTAAGATTGGACCCGTGGCATGACCCATACCACCAAGCTCCCTTAAAGGTCTGAGAGCAACTACCGCCGCTGTTATCATTGTCATTGTCTTTGGTAGAAAAACGCAAACCGTTATGGCCAGTGAGGTCGTCACCTAAAATTTTGGATATAGTTTTAAGTACAATCGTACCATACAGCCACCGCTGTCAGTCTTCTCAGAAAGCACTTAGACATCCAAGTTTTTTTCCAGTTTACTGAGAATGATGATATTAGAGGCCCGTAGTCAGGGGGGGTCGGGGGGTTCGAAAGACCTACCCTTTTTGCTGGGAAAAGGTCCACTCTGGGTAAAATTTGACCTATGTACTTGTACTTTTATAGTTAAAGGTCCACATTTTCAGAAAACGAACCCCCCCCCCTCCCCACTCTGTAATTGCTGGCTACGGGCCTGTATTAACTCAACTGACATTTTAAAAATCGTCCCTGCTTGTCTATGCGAGTCGAGGATATAAATGGGCAGCATCTAATATCACCTACATTTAATGTATGTTAAAACATGGTTATCGTAAGTAACAGTTCCATTTGCTATGAATAATGATAATACATGTACAATATTTAAGGGATAGCATCTCTTCATTTTGGCGAGAAAGGGGCAATAAAACGGATTTTCCTAGGGTGCACGACGATTTTCCTGCTTACTTTTCAACTGTTAATGAATTCGTTCCGACATACAGAGTTATTCGATTTTTTTCGGTAATAATTTCGTAAGATATAATTTCAGAGGGAAGTCAATTATGCATGAAGGTCCACGTGGTCCCATGGCAACACAAATCTCAGAATAGTTGTGATATGATATGTTGTTAACAATGCATTTATTGTAAAATTATGAATTTAATATAAAGGGTTGTTATCTCTGTAACACATTGCATGAGTAACAAATGTTTTTGAGTCTGGTAATATTTTTACTTCTTAATATCAGTTAAAATTTGCTAATGTTACAATGAATTTTCAGCGTATACTGTACAATGTTTTTGCAGTTTATGTTGCTTTTTACTAACGTCTTGGCCAGGGTCTACTGTATAAGCTTGGTCTCAACGATATCCTCAAAAAACTTTCCAGAATGATACGATTTTATTTAAGGCGCAAGGCATTGGTATTATACTGTAATTGCCATAAAAAGTTATCTAAAAGTAAATGGTAGATATCATATCCAACCAATAGAGCTCATATCTTATCGAAACCGGGTGTGCTAGAATATAACTTACCAGCTGTGCCAGAATGACCTCTGACTGCAAGCCTGTATTTGTCAGCCTCAGACCCTATGGCAAAGCTGTGATATTGCGCATATCGACTGGACCCCTGGGCGTCCTGCATGTCCACTCGGAGTTCATACTTATCTTGGGTGGTCAAGAAGTAGATATTGTCATTTCCTGCAAGTAACCAGTAATTATTACGCACGGATGCTAGTGTTCAGGTACAGAACGGCTACTTACACTTAAACGTCATGTGCTTAGTCCAAAAATATATGGCACAAACATTAGCGCATCTCCTTTTGACTAAAAGTGCAAAACTCTTAAAACTGATTATTTCACGTAGCCGCACCTGACATTTATATATAGCGATGTCCGTGTAGCAATAATTGTGACAATTTAACAAACAAACAAAAAAAATAAATAAATAAATAAATAAAAAGAAACGTTTTCCTTGAAACACTGAGCAACATAACTCGATAGATTTGGGTATAAATTATCTCTAATTCATACAGAGTTTATCGTCATCTGAGGTCTAATAAGACGAACACCACCACAAATAACGATTACGATTACAGGGCGCAGGCTGGGAAAACTTTTGATGGCACCTGATGAAGGCCTACCAGACATGCATGCTTACAGTTTATTTGTACCGCCTGTGATATTTATTTAAACGCTAGCTTAAGGAGAAGTAATTAAGATACTTCTGACGGACTTAGAGAAGGAGAAAGTTTTACCCTATATAAAGATCTCCAAAGTTTCATTGGAATATATCTGGGACTGGGCATCCGCACCCCCTCCCTAGTCTGCCAGTATGGCCCTGCATTAAAATATGGGCACTGACAACGTTCCCAACTGCGAATTATTTATTTATTTATTTATTTATTTATTTATTTATTTATTTATTTATTTATTTATTTTTGCATGAAGTCTATTGCATAACCTATATAACCTACCTAACCAGAATTCAGTGTTCAGATTCCCAAAGCCATATTTATAGTTCTGCCAGTTTCTGTAGAAGTCCACAGTTCCGTCCATTCGTCTTTGGAACACCTGAATGGTAAATCATCGTTTTTTTTTTTTTTTTTTTTTTTTTTTATAATGCAAAATATGTTATGTAATATGAATATCTAATGTCCATTTCCTATATGATTCAAATAGAATGAGAAAAAAATGGCTACATGCAATTGTATCTCTTTTGCGACAAATAAAAGCTCACAAATGAAGGTCTTATTAATGCACCATGTTAAGCTGGTGAACGCATTGGGACTGAATATTTCAGGTCTAATTATCAAAGATTATTTTTATAGAAATGTACAATCGTACCGTCCAGCCACCGCCGTCGGTCTTCATATCGCAGTAGACATCAAGTTTTTTTCCAGTTTTACTGAGAATGATGGTGTACACGCCGCTGATCCTTACCCCTTTATGATACAGCTCTGCACAGTCCTTGCCTTGCGCTGTTAACAGAAAAAAACAGCAAAACATTTTCGAGTGTTTTATCTTTATAACGAGCAAAAAAAAAATAATAATAATAATTAATTACCTTAGGGCATTGGAGTTCATAGCACTCCTCATATTTCATTCCCCATAAAATCAAGCAGACCCTTGTTCGTATGGCTGTGCTTCATCCAGGCAAGTAAGCTTTTGAGTCAAGATCATAGTATAAATCTTATACAGGGTAGATAATAAGCAGACGGATCTGAAGCTCTTAGTGTCTCTTAGTGTCTCTCCTATTACTCTTTTTGAACAGTATGATGTTATCAGAATTTGCCCATGCTGCTGGTATTTTTTCTCAGATATAAGCACCTTGCTACTTCTATTTTTTAAGCTGTTATATCTGGGAGATCATATGCTGAAGTTAGGAATAATACTCCTTTGTTACTGTCAAAAAGCTCTCCATATAATTCTTCGACTATTTCTAATATCTTAATTGTCTTGTGTGTTGAGCTCATTACCATCTTTGTCTTGGAGAGTCATTAGTCCATGCGAAACTAATATTCAGTAAAGCATGCAATAATTAAAAATTTAAGTATACCACAGGTATGTTATGTGATATACATGTATTATCTTTATTGAATTTGCAACAATCTCTCTTATATCTCTCATCTCTTTATGTTGTTGACAGCAATAAGTCAGTCGCACAGTCACAACTAACGCAATGTCGCTATCATCAGTTCATGTAAAATTCAGTAGTTTTTAGTTGCAGTAGCTATACTGTATATGCGCGCGCATACTTGAACGGTCAGGTTATTATCTTCATCATTGCTAGTTTCAAGGACAGAGTGATCCAATAAAGGCCTGTGAGAAGGAAGTAGGAAATAAACTTGTTTGATTTTTATTATTTATTTATTTATTTATTTATTTATTTATTTTATTTATTTTTTGCTGTATAATTACGATCAATATCTGTCCTTTGATGAAAAAATGACGTGCAATTTTAAAATAGATCTTTAATGCGTTTTTGAGAGTTTTTCCCTCATTAGTCTTGAAGGTGTCACTCGATATCGTTTCAAACTATTTCCATTTTCGCGGGTGTAATTTACAGATTAATCTAGATATAGATTGCTAAAAGAAGTATAAATGAATAAATATTGAGGGGCGTTAACCACATTAAAAGTGCCAAATTTTTGGAAGTCGTCAGTAAAAAGCAAAACTCTTTGTATTTCCGGCTTAAGTTATACCTTCTAACCAATAGGAAGGTCTATAAGGCTAATTTGGCATTCACGTTTTTGAGTCGACTGGACTCGGTTGTTCATGCAGGCTTTTCCAGTTTTCCTGCTTAAGTTTATAGCAATTTAGTGAGACTCCCCAGGGAGATAGAAGGATCCAAATGTATGTGGGAATGGTTCTTTACCGAAACCCGTCCGCACACAAGAAACCTAAGCATTGTTTGTGGAGGTTTTCCAGTCTGTGGACTGTTAAACAGAATATAACGACTTCACATTCTGTTCTAAGAACAGAGGCATTACCATACTACACATTTAAAATATCCAATACACAATTTTTAGAATAAGCTAAACTAACAGGTATAGACCTTTTTAAGCTCCTTTATACTACAAATTCATGACAACAAAACTACTTACGAGGTGGTGCCGTAATTTTTGTCACTTTGTCAGCCAATTGCTGATATTTGTCATCGAGCGTCTGGAGTCTATATTCCATATACTTCAGTTCACTGCCGCATTGCTGGGTGCAGGTTGTGGTCGGTGTTCCTAGGCTAGTTTAAAAGGTGATTGTTACATATATGGAAAAAATAATTTAAAAAACAATGTGTGATATGGGACTGAACGCAACTGATGCAGTACGTTGACATCGCTATTGCCAATATATTTGGTTTTTTTGTACAATGTAACAGCCCCCCCCCTTTTTTTTTTTTTTTTTTTGGGGGGGGGGGGGTTGGGGGTCTGTTGAAGTACATGCTTTTGTTCAATTAAGGATTCCTTAAAATTTTTAGCAATATTGATTTTAATGTAAAGTTATAATGTACACCGACAGACTGATTGATGACAAATTCGTTTATACAATATATGCCCTACTTTCACTGGCTGACAAACAGTAGGAACAATTAGACTTAAAACCATTAATATTTTTGTGTGTCCAAACGGTTGCCTCATGGGGCTCAAGTTTTCTATTAAATGTTCAGTCTATAAAATATGTGTGCTCATATTGAAACTGTACTTACCTAGGACTAAAATTCAAATTTATAGATAAAGCAAAGTGGTATGCAGACGAAATAATCATCCAAACGAGCAGTGTTGCCATCATGTCTTTGGAATAAGTTGTCAGTGAGTGGATGCCAGCTATATATATATGTGTTTCTTCTTGAGAAAAGCCCACGAACAGAAGGAGGAAGACACGAATTCGTGCGTCGTCTTGGGAAAGAAGGTTAAGGGGCATTTCAAAGCTATCGATTGACGAAGATAAGTTGTGAAAAAGAGCGTTGATTGGGCAACCTTTACCACCTTGAAGTAACTACTGCCATTTTGCTTCAACAGGTGATATTTTTCGGGTAAGTCCTGACTTCAGTGATGATACTGGGAACTCCCATGTGGTATTAAGAAGCAATTGCGACGATGCGAATTTTGAGAAAAACAAATAATTCCGCTGAGAACATATTATTTTTTTCTGCTGGACGCGGTTTACAGGTGATATCCGGTGGTTCTATTTCGGCAAAACTATACTGAATCAATTCAAGTTCTATTGTTTTTATTGATAAGCCTGCCCGGCACGGCCAGTTAGAAGGCTTCAGATGCCTTTATTTTTATTTTGTTTTACACTGAGAAAACATTTGACTTCACTTGTGACTTTATAGAGAAGCGACTCACACCTTTTTGGTTTTAATTTTGAGTAGTCTTTGATCTTTTAAATGTCCACTGTAAAGTTCCCCCGGTAGCACTGTTTGACCAAATGAACAGTCTTGAGAGGCAGAGGGGTGGGGGGGGGCAAAAAAATAAAATGTATGAATGGGAAAAGCAATAGCGGCGAAGTGACTTTTGAAAAAAGAATAAAAACTCCTCTTGCTGCATGATTATCTCGCCGAGAAGATAGCACTTATTTAATGAAAGGGCAGTATGAAGTACATGAGACCATGCTGGGTTAACTTTTGATTTCATTCAATTTTGATCTGTGAGTTTTTAATTATCTCTAAAACTTGGAGAGTTCTGTACACAGTAGAAACCCACACCCAGAAAATCCACAACAGTT